CTGGACAATGAGCATCCTTGGACTTTTCGCAGGCGCATGCAGCACCTTTTGGACAGCAGTTCAGTTACCAGCATACTCTGATCGTCGTCAATATTCTGACGGAAATCGAAAGCCGATAGTGGGTTTGCAAATCAGACAAATAAATGTTCCAAAACTTGTAAATAATAAAAAGTTTGTTAGATTTTCGCTAAGGAAGGAATTCGCCCCGTTTCAGTACCAAATATAACACTTATTACGACTCCGATTGGCAAGAACACCATCTATTAGAGAACGAAATTAACAAAGATTATAGGTGCAAAGTTCACCTAATGTCAACTCGTCTGAAAACTCGCAGCTTCCCGGGATTGATGGGTACCTACACATAGAAATGATTCTTGAACTTTGAAGAAACATGCAATGGCTGAAAAACTCGCGAAACCGCAGGCTCGCATGAGAGGACCAGTGTGCAGCAGTCTCAGGAGTATACCACATTGACGTCACCAGCAACAGATACAATGCTTCTTCGGTGCACCGACCCACCTGGTAATCCGACTCCTGTGGCGGGTCCCGGTGGTGTGTTGGAGCGGGGCCGACGTCTCTCTCTGGTGAGGTGAAGCTGAAAAACCAGCACAAAGAAATTAATGAATGAAGCAACGCATGGTTAAACACAGTAGTATAGCATGCAATGAGAAGACGAATAGATGAGATGTTCATAGCATGAACGGGTGTAAGCTGAAAAGCCATAGAAATATCAAAATAACTAGAAGTTTACGTTACATTTTCATTGATTTTATACATTGATTGTATGATGATTTGAATGATTTGATTATTGATTTGTATAATGATAAATATTGTTATTCACCTGGGAAGGAATCATGTTTAGGACGAATATTCGAAACACCAGGTACTTTTTATTTACGGTAGCTTTCGAAAGCACTGCGGCTTTCTTCCTCCGCCTAGACAGTTAGACACGACATAGAATGATATTAAAATTCACATTTCATCCTAGTCGTTCGTTTCGTGATACTAAACATCAATATGTTAAATATCACGAAACGAACGACTAATATGAATTCTTAATTTTAATTTAATTTTATGTGTGTGTCTAACTGTCTAGGCTGAGGGAGAAAGTCGCAGTGCTTTCGAAAGCTACCGTAAATAAAAAAGTATCTGGTGTTTCGAATATTCGGCCTTAACATTGACTTAATGACATATCGTTTTTTTATTAATTTCGCAGACAAAAACAAACATCAGAGCCAGTGGCGTAGACAGGGGGGGGGGGCCATGGGGGCCATGGCCCCCCCTTTCCGCCCAGCCGCCCAGATGGCGCCCCAATTAGCGCCGACTAGGCTGATGCCGTTTTACAGAGGGAACATGAATTAAAAAGCGATGTGCAGGCAGGGATCGAACTCAATATCTCTTTATGGGTTCCTGGACACCCCAATGTTCTCCAGGGCACCCCCAAATAGGACCTGAGCTCCCCAATGTTTAAGGGCGCCCCTCCGGAAACCAGAATAGGATTATAGGTATTCCGAACCCCCAGGGTCGATGGCGCCCCTGAAAGCCGCTGGCACCCACCTGAACGGAACAGTCGCCCCATTTACATAAGGTTGATTGCACCCCTCTAAGTTCACAGCTGCCCCATTCGGCCCCATCCAAGGTCGATGGCGCCCCTGAAACCACTGGCGCCCCTCTAAAGCACCCGCATTCTTCTCAATATCACAGTCGCCCTATCCGAGATCAATAGCGCCCTCAAGAGAGCCACTAGCACCCCTTTGAGACTGAAGTCGTCCCGCTTGAGACTAAATTCGCCCCATTCAAGCCCAATGACGCCCCTCCAGAGGGTCCGGTGCGCTTCTGAAGATCACAGTCGTCCTCATCCGAGGTCGCTGGCGCCCCTCAAAAGTTGCTGGCGCCCATCTAAACGGAGATCACAGCTGCCCCATCGTAAGATCGATGGCAACCCTCTGAAACCAATGGCGCCCTTCTAGAGTAGTACCCGGCGCCCCTCTGAAAATCATATTCGCCCCATCCGAGACAACGCCCCTTGAGACTACAGTCACCCCACCCAAGTTCAAGGCGCCCCTCTAGAGCGTCTGGCGTCCTGCTGAAGGCAACAGCGGCCCCATCCATGCCCAATGGCGCCCCTCAACGCCCTTCTAAAGATCACAGTCGCCCCATCAATCTAAGGTCGCTGGCGCCCCTCAAGAGCCACTGGCGCCAACCTAAACCGGGACTTCAGTCGCCCCATCCTAAATCAATGGCGCCCCTCTGAAACCACTGGTGCCCGTCTGAAAATAACAGTCGAATCATCCGAGATCAATGGCGCCCCTTCAGAGCGTCCGACGCCTTACTGAACGCAGCAGTGACTAAGCATTACACCCCTCTAGATCACCCGGTGCCCTTCTGAAGATCACATTCGCCCTATCCGAGTTCGTTGGCGCCCTCCAGTAGTCACTGACGCCCATCTGAATGGAGACTTCAGTGGCCCCGCCCCATTCAAGATCGATAGCGCCCCCCCCCCCGAAACCACTGACGCTAGGTAGGTAATTATTTGACAATGGGGCTGTCTCATCGACACCAAGGACCATTTTCAAGATGCAGCAGCCAGGCGGCGTCGAGCTGGGCTAGGATGTGCCAAGCGTTTCTTATAAGGCAGCCTCGTTAGTGCCACCCCTCGTTGCGATACCGCCCCTCAATGCGACGCCGCCCATTCACCGTACAATGCCACCCCTCAATGCAAGTGCTGCCCCCCAGCGCATTGCCGCCCATTATTGTGATGCCGCCCCCGCCTAGCAGTGCGGTGCCGCCCCAGCGTACGCCACACCGACGGAACGATCACTTTTGAAACTTTCAGAGATTGATAAGACTAACAATATGTATAAAAAAATTATCTCGGACTTTTGATATCCATGACCTAAGGTCAGGTCAATTTTGCGACTTCTCCAATAGGTATAAGTCAATTGGAGAAAATTGAAATGCGCCTCTTTTGGACGAATGTGGTTCAAAACCCTCTCAAACACCGGTTCATAGGTAAACATAACACACTGAATCGACAAAATGCACCTGTGACCCTTCTGTGTGCACCTGAGGTCATCTCATGTCATGAACCGTCACCAGCATTTCTTTGGCTATAGGTACCTTTTGATAGAGACGTGCTAAAGCGGTGAAAACACGTCAGATGTGTTCAGCTCGACGATACGGATCGGGTGATATGCAGATGACCCTGTCCGTCAAGGTCACGACCTTGACCTGAGGTCAAATTTTCAAAATGACCTTTCAAGGTCGACGTATAGTTCATTCGACGCGTTTCGACGAGAGGAATAAGATGCTGGCAAAATAAATGTCGTCACTGTCTGGAGTCAAAAGTTATTGCAGAAAACGATTTTAATAAAAACTGTTATTTTTTAGTTGTTTCCCTCTGGAGGCTAGTGGCCAGTCAGTCACTGGAGGCAGTCATGCATGTCCACAAGTAGGGGCTGCACGCACTAGACATCGAATCAGGGTAACTTTTAAAGGGGGGAAAGGGGAATTTCCCCCTTCGAAAATTCCGCTCGTCTTTCAAATTGCGCGTGAACGGCTAGGGAGGGAAGGGGAAATTTCCCCCTTTCAAATTTATTTTTGAGCCCATTTTCAATCAATTCGCTACTCAGATCTATAATCATCGTTGATCAGACTCTACTCATCAATCAACGTTGCTGGCGCTTATATAATTTTCAATTTGAGGTTCCATCCAACCATTTTACGTTCAGTGCAGCGGGAACTCCAGATTTGACCCGATGATCGGATGGTCGGTGGGACCGTCTCTTGTCTTGTCTCTTCCGTCTCTTCGCAATCACTGACATATCGCTACAGGCGTCGGCGTAGAAACCGGCGGGGGACGGGGGTCATGACCTCTCCGAACCAAGGGTCTTCCTTCGAACCAGGGTCCTTCAACCGGTCTTGGCCTAGCAAAAATAGTCACGTGTTAACCTCTCTCTATTTAGAAAGGCCGTGCTTGATGTTTGGCCAGGGTAATAGGTTGGTACCAGGTTGATACTACTGATTGACATTTGCAAGGGCGCAGTCAAGTTGGGACCTCCCCCGCCCCTTACCGCCAATTTAGGTACCTACGTATATTTTTAGATAATTTCTTTTTTGGGCCCCTAACAATATAAAGTGGCCAGAATCCGGGGAGAGAGTAGGATTTGGGGGTAAGTAAGGTTCTGCAGGCGCCATCCTAACAAAAACCTAATGGCATTGGGTCCCCCTTTCAGATGCCCCTGGATTCGCCCTTGCCCCAACTTAATTCCCCCTCTCGACTTTTCCTGTAAGTCGAATGTAAGTAACCCTGCATCGAATTGTAAAGGTGATGTGTGGAGAAAAAATCCAGAACGTATATCAGCGTTCGGTCGCCTCTGACTGCAGTCGCTGCTGGTATGACAATGAGTTGGGATCTCATGGTGGATCTCATGGTCTAAAATGTCTTTCCTTGATTCCAATTTAGGCAATAAGTCGCAGCGTGTATCCTACATACGTGCGCTCTGAGATTCTAAACACGGCAACCCCAGTCGACCGACCACAGGCTACAGCCCACAGGTCACTTCGGATCAGTGAGTGAGCCCGTATATTTTTCTTCTTTTTTTGCAAAGAATAAATATTCTGCCTATCGATCAACGTATAGTTACTTTCCCGTTTCGAATTCGCATGGATGCGTATTTTGAGAATAAAATGTCCGTAGCCTGAGCTCGTTTCCTATATCATGATAAAAATTCATCTAGATCAAGGTTTTTTTTATATAAAAAAACACCAGGCTGCAAATTGCATTAATTGGATTTTATGAAAATCAGCGAAAGCTGGTTCTTATGTATTTTGCAACACCTATAGTAAATCATGCATGAACATGACGTTACATTTTAGCCTGACACCCCTGTCACTAGCTGACAATGGCGCCCCTCTCAAGGGAAAAAGTCGCCCCCTCGAGCACCATGGCCCCCCCCCCCTTTCGCTGATCTCTGGCTACGCCACTGATCAGAGCTCACCTGTGTCCAGGTATGAGTCTGATGGACAGAACTGTGGCTGGTGGACTGGCAGCTGTATAGCGGCACCACACTCCCTCCTGCCGACTACCGCACCTGTTGGAGACATGGCACGGCGTTAGCAACACTGTTAATGTGTTTATATTGTGAACACGACACTGAGTATGAATACATTGCAATACGACATAATCAGCTTATTCGTGATGTTTACTTTGGAATTTGAGAAAAGGCTAGCGGTAATTCCTATACCCATTAAAATGAACATGCTGGTCCATGCAAAATAGGCTTTGAAAACCATCTAGAAAAAGCAGTAGGTATGTAGCAGTAGGCTTGATCAGTCCGGCAACGATTGGAAGGATGAAATAGCTACCAATGTTTCCCTGCCGATTTTAACTCGCACACAACTGATAATTAGCGGCGCGATTTTATTACTCCTGTTCGCTTTTTGCATTTCAGGTTGAAATTGTCTTTTTCATTTCAATTTTGTCTAAAATTGCTAAGAAAAAACGTTCTGACTATCTTGTGACTCAAGAAAGGCAGAAAAAGCGCACTGCGTCGCATGGTTAGAATCCCGCTCATAGATGTCGCTAGTGTACAGCGCCTGAAAGCACACCGCGCCGCATCGTTAGAATCCTGCCCATAGATGTCGCTAGCTTACAGCGCCTGAAGTTATACTGCGCCGCATGGTTAGAATCCCGCTCATAGATGTCGCTAGCGTATGACGCCTGAAGTTATGCTGCGCCGCACAGCCTCCAGCGGCCGGTATAATGCATTAGATCATAGGCCGGCACTCGGCAATTTTTTTTCACACGCAGCGATTGAGAAATTAAATTGTTTAGCTGTAGGAACTGAAATGTGCTTCTTTTCATTATATGGCATTATGGCAAATAAATGAGAACCAAGTTTTCTATGAGCAAAACGTTAACTGTTTTTTTTCCAAATATGTTCGTTTTTGTTAAACATCATGGTTGGAATAAAACCAACAATTAGTCTTCAACTCAAGCAGTAACACAATCCACTTCTTTCTAAACTTGAAAAGTAGGTACGCTTCTCCAGTAAAAGTCTTGTTGGTTTTGCTTTTTCGGACATATCTGGTCCTATATAATGTTCAAATGCATAAGCATCAACCCGAATTATGTGTATGCACATTTACCACGAGACTGTGAAATTGCATCGTTGTATGCTAAATAGTTTCCGAGATATCCACCAAAAACCTCATTTTCTGCCGTTTGGGGCATTCTGGCCGCAATCTTCCTGGGATCGCCTATAACATCCATGGTGCCACCTAGCGAGAGGGACGCGGAAACACAGAATCATGAATGAATCGAGCGCGTAGTAAACGGTGTATGGAAGGGAGACTCGGCAGAGGCTATCCGGGTGGCCGGCGCGCGGCGCGCCTTTAGGCATTGGCCGACCCTTCGGACCGCGTGGGGTCAGAGGTCGCGCTCGGGAAGTCTCGGCTCTGGGTTTTAGCGCTGTGCAGTCAGGAAGGGAGGGGAGGATAGCGCTAGCCCGACTGACTAGTATCTCGGCTGATTCGTGTGGGATCAGGGATGGAAGGGATCACAGAACGGGATGGTGGCTAGTGGTGGATGATGGGATGGTGGTTAGGTTAGTGCGTACTGCGTAGAACGTAGCTGAACATGCCTTTTTATGGCAAACAACATGCAGCATAATGTGCGGGATTATGCCAGAACTCATACAAAAAGGATTTAATATTTCGGCCGAGGGAGTGGATGAGTGCCGTGACAAAGAATGACGATGCTGCCAAAATCGGGATGCTTTTTTGCGCCCATTTTTTTAACCCTTACATACAGCGCTTAATCCGAACTTAGAGGACCCCGACAGACCTACCCGTCCAGTGCGCCACCTTTTCTTCAGGGGCGCTCTTCTTCAGACGATGGACCGGAATCTCGGGTCAACAATGCAGCCGACGGGCCGGGAGACCGCCCAGACACCGCGGACAAACACTGAAACGGTCAGAGGGCAATCACGTCATAATCACATTCACAGTCTTATCACTGAGTGATACACGACTCACGAGTTTTGTTCACGTTTTGCATTTAGCTCGTTTTTCATCAAACATCCATGAAATCCATGTTGAAAAACATCCATGATTTATCCATAAATTATACCTTAAATGATACTTACATGAAGCATTCAACACAACGGGTGTAACAAAAAATGGTGATGTGCTTACCTTATACGATTTGTAGTCGAAATTCCTTCCAGAAACTTCCACCGCGCCGGGAGCTGCACGTCCGCCCACACCGGCCGCTGGTAGCGAAATCTCGCGGGCGCGGCGGACCAGCCTCGCTCCGGCCGCCCGGCCACCGCCCGGGGGCAGGTCGGGGAGGCAGGGGCGGCGTCAGTTACAGAGCCGGGGAGGGTAGAGGCAGACACGTGGAGCCGGCAGTGGCGGCGCCAGACATAGAATCTGGGGGAGAAGCAGCGTAGGGATTTGAGTTTCTTTGTTCCTACGTGGGCATTGGTAAATACGGAAGGCGCCGAATAACTGAATCTCGTAATTTTTAACGGCTCTAGCAGTCATCGTAGATAAGTCTCGATAATTCTATTTGATCGGAAGTTGGAGTGAAATGTTTGGGTGACCGCTCCGTCGGCTGGGTCAATAGCATTGTTCGGCCACCGTTTACTTAATATTATACTGATACAGCAATATTTGAAAGGAAGTTGCAGACGTTTCTCAGCCTCTTATTAGTGGAACACACATTCCACGTGAATTTTACCAACGGAAAGCCGCGAAACGCGAGCAAGCTTGCAGCCTGCTGAGAAAAGCCGGCCACCGAACGGCCGCCTCGTGGTCTGCCTTTTTCTATCCACTTTCCTCTCTTTCTGTCTGGCGCTGTTAATCTGCCCGTCTCTTTCCCTTAACCACTTTCTCTTTCAGCCCTCCTCTTCTCTCCCGGCATCCCTTGAACTCGACAGCACTCAACGCGACGGGAAAATGCGACATCATTTCTTCCGAGAGACAACATATGCTACAAACACTTGCCGCTAGTTCGTTGTTGTTTATTTCGTTAGTGTTATCAAATATCAACTCATTCCATCCAACTGTCATAAAACTGTCGCCGGAGGCGTCACTCAACACACATCCGCTCGTTGTACCGGGCGATTTTATTGAGTTATCTCTAAACAAACCGATTCGCGTTCACACATCAACATATCTCGCTGTATAGTATGAAGAGCACAGGTATATCGTAAACGGCAGGACGTCCCGGCCGCCGCAGCTCCTCATTGGCTGCTGCCCAACTCCCCCGGCCCGTGATTGGCCGCTGGTCGGCTCGCGGGACTGTGATTGGCTGCCAGTGCGGAGCTCCGCCCCCTCCCCTCCCCGTGACCCGCCGCTGGGCCACCCCAATTCAACACAGGCAGCGAGTTCAGATTGTGCTGCCACCTATCGGGCGACGGTGCTGCCACCTAGGCGGGCTACACCGTCAGCGATACGAAGCTGTTATATTGCTGGATGTTGCGCTTCAGAATGTCGGCACAGGGGCCAAGAACCCGCTCGAACCTGGAACATAGGAACACCACGTCAGAGGAGAGCACAAGCCTTCTTAAAATAAGCACAAACGTGCCACCTTGTGAATTATTGCCGCTCAATTGTCTAATCTACGCTTAGATTAGGGGTCAAGTATCATACAGCTTCGGTAGCCAATGGTCAAGTAGAGCTCACACATTAACCTTAACGTTAGCGTATGGGAGTTATTATTGAGCCTCAGCTGTTGGTGAGCAGTTCCACCCACCTTCCGCGGTCGAGTTTGACGCATTTGAGGGGTCCGCGGGCCACCACAGTGGCCGCCCGGGGCCGGTCCAGCATCAGGGCGATCTCACCTGGAGAGAGAGACACACACACGGACAGAGTTAGAGTAGACAGAGTGGGAGGAACGGAAGGAGCATCAGTGTGATCGGGGGGAGAGAGACGGGTCAGAGTTTAGAGCAGGGGAGAGGGAGGGAGGAGGACACGACGGGAGGATAGAGCAGGGAGACGTGAGGTGAGAGAGTATCAGAGCGATCTCGGCTGGGGAGGAGAATTCAGACGGTTAGAGCGGAAGAGATGGAGAGGGAGGAAGGATAGAGAGGGGATGCCGTAAAAAACAGCTTGAGGAAACACGACTAGAGAGGACAGAAAGCTGAACGCAAGATACCTATAAGAAACAGGTAGATCCGATGTTTGAAAGTAAAGCCCCAGTCACAAATTTGACGCACCTGTGACATTTCCTGACACCCACGTGACTATTGTATTAACTTTTGTGTTTTTCGATGTTTTGACCTTATTTAAAGTACTGAAAGCTCAAAATGTATGATTAATGCTGTTTAAAGCAGCATATTAATAATTATGTTTGTAAATTATCGATAAACTGCTTATAGCAGGTCACGTGATTGCTACCAGATTATGTGCTCAGAAAGCATCTTTTCAACTTCGATTTTGAACAATTTTTACCTCCTTTGAGGCCAAATGATGGACGGTTTGAGGCACACGATGAAATGCTGAATCTATTGATGCCAAAATTTGTTCGTTTTTTGCATTTTTAGACTAGTATATCCTGGCTCAAACTTTGACCAGTTTGTGTGTAAACCCTATGGTGAAGGGAAAACTTCACGCCCAGCAGGCGTCGTTACAGTGCTGCCAAATCGTGTTTGGTGGGGGTCGGCTGAACGCATGGAACATCAGCGCCATCTGACCTGGAGGTGCACCGCGGTAGTGGGTTCGAGAGAGAGAGAGAGAGAGAGAGAGAGAGAGAGAGAGAGAGAGAGAGAGAGAGAGAGAGAGAGAGAGAGACCGAGGGGATCTAGAACAGCTTGTGAGCTTGGGGAGGACACGACAGCTGGGGGGCGGGGGGGGGGGGACAGAGGGTTATTGAGGCAGTTCTGGAGGAAAAATCAGCACCATCTCACCAGGCACCAGAGTCTAGAAGACAGGGTGAGAGAGAGAGAGAGAGAGAGAGAGAGAGGAGAGAGAGAGAGAGAGAGAGAGAGAGAGAGAGAGAGGGCCGGAGGAGGGAGAGAGGAGTGAGGGCGGGGCAGATAGGGAGATTTCTAATAATTCCCGCTTGCTGAGGTTTGACAGGTGCACTTTCAGGATTAACGCAGACGTAAGTGCAGTTCAAGGTGGCGTACTTTTATGGCTTCCGGAAGCCTGACAGCGGCCCACTCAGAGCGCCAGTAGTGCGTTTGAAGCCGCTCAGTGGGCGCGCCGTCACACACCACGGAAAACAAATTACCGGACGTACAATTTAGGCAGTTTACGCAAACGCTTGGCAATCGTCAAAGTCGTATGCAAGATGAGTTATGTCGTCAACATTCATAATACTGAGCAAACCAGATAATACTCTCTCCCCCTCACTCTCACTCTCACTCACTCTCACTCTCTCTCTCTCTCTCTCTCTCTCTCTCTCTCTCTCTCTCTCTCTCTCTCTCTCTCTCTCTCTCTCTCTCTCTCTCTCTCTCTCTCTCTCTCTCTCTCTCTCTGTCTCTGTCTCTGTCTCTGTCTCTGTCTCTGTCTCTGTCTCTCTCTCTCTCTCTCTCTCTCTCTCTCTCTCTCTCTCTCCCCCTCCCTCTCTCCCCCTCCCCCCACTAACCGAAGTAGTCGGAGGGCCCCAGCTGTCCGACCTCCTGCTCCTGTTCTCCCTCGGTCCGCCGCTGCAGCACGGCCGCCCGGCCCTCCACGATGATGTAAAAGTCGTCTCCCGGCTCGCCCTGACGTACTATCGTCTCGCCGTCGGCGAACGAGACCGGCTCCAGGCTGTCGGCGACGGTGAGACGCTCCCACTTGTCCAGGGACTCTGAGGGGAAGGGTCAGGTCAGGTCAGGTCAGGTAAGGACAGAGACCGGCTCCAGGCTGTCGGCGACGGTTAGACGCTCCCACTTGTCCAGAGACTCGGCGGGAGTTGAGGTCGGGTCAGGTCAGGTCAGGTCAAGTCAGGACAGAGACCGGCTCCAGGCTGTCGGCTACCGTCAGACGCTCCCACTTGTCCAGAGACTCTGCGGGAGTTGAGGTCGGGTCAGATCAGGTCTGTGTGTTCAGGTCAGGTCTCGGTCAGCACAGGCATGTCTCACAGCTGTCCAGGATCTCTACCATGTGTCTCTCACCTTGGCTGGTCTCTTACTCTAAACTAGAAATTAAGAGTTAAGCTAAACAAGTTGAGCATCGCCCTCCCACAACGTCCTAGCTCCATGCAATGTTATCACCTGTCCAATTTCATCAACAATGTTATCACTCTAGCCTCTGTTATCAGCGCCGAAACATTATTTGCATCTCGACGGCGCGTTGACAACTTTAAAGACTATCGATCGATCTCCACTCTCCAGGGATGAGTGGGCAGATACGGGGGACCGGGTGTCGCCACCTCTGCAGGGAGGTGTTAGTGTAGTAATGAGTTGGGCTAGGGGCCGATTAATATCCGGATGGAGAGGAGAGGAGAGACAGAGGAGAGAGGAGAGGGGAGACAGAGAGAGGAGAGACAGAGAGAGGAGAGGGAAATGACGGACGGCGGGGGATAGACGGCGGAGAATAGAGCGACAGGTAGGAGGGGATGGAAGGGTGAAAAGAGACAGCGCCTAGTCACCGATTTGCCAACTGACCAAACTTACCAACATTAGAGCGACTCACCCAACTCATCCAACTCACACCGGTAACTCACGGCAACTCCCATCGGTAACTCACGGCAACTCACACCGGTAACTCACGGCAACTCACACCGGTAACTCACGGCAACTCACCGAGAATGGACACGCGACTCAGGAACTCCTCGTACATCTTCCGCTTCCGTATCGTGGAGCCCATCAGGATTCTGCAGAGACAAAGACGGTGATAAGCGCACGGTGAGCAATGTGTCGATCATCGCGACAGGTACAAGTGCTAAACGAATCCAACATAACATACTCCACAGCATCCTTCCTAAACACAGACGAACAGGCACCACCAGAAAACCATTAACCCTTCTGCACGGTGGTCTGTCACAGTTTCACAGTTTCTATACTAACTCCCGGTCACGACCGCCATTAAACCCCACCACTCACTAAAGATCACCTTATGATTGCAGCGATCGCAACTAATCTCTGTGTAGCGCAGAATCGTGCGCCAGCTGTATGTCTTATCATACGCACTCCTTGTAAAACATCACGTCCTGTCTAGCTTTTTATCACCTTGTACCACAGTTTTTAGTGATTTTCTACAAAAGCCGGTTTTGTAGAGTCTCATCTGCCCCAACTTGAAAGCATTTATCGTTATTCTCAGATCACTTCATCAGCGGCCTTTCTCGTGGAAAATCGTACCCACAAAGCTAGTGTTTATACGGTAAACATTGACCCAGATCGCCGGCCTGGAGAGATATTTCCTTCTTTGGGGATGGTACACAGATACATCAGCGATCGGCAATTGGAATAGACATGCCCAAAACCAGAATAAAACAGCTACAAGACGGAAAATATGGGACAAAACACGTCGTTGGGTGAGGATCAATCTTAATCTTCAGCAGGAAAAACATATAACAAGACAGTCAGACAGAGTGTATCCATGAACTTACACGCAGACAGACTGACAGACCCACAGACCGAATAAAAATATCAAGAGAATAGCAGACAGGAGACTATTGAAAAGGAGAGCCAACAGACAAACCGTATTTTTATGCCCATAACTCCAGCCCTGCAAATCAGACAGACTGAGAGGAACACACCGACGACCTTTAAAAATTAATGTACAGAAAGCACTGTCAACCCAACAGACCTACACACAAACGCTCTGTAGCTGCACGCACCGTCTGTATGTATCTCTGTCGATGGCCCAGAGTTTGACGTCGGAGCTGGCCTTGACGGTGGCCGCGCGCGGCGTGCCGTAAATGAGCGCCAGCTCGCCGAAACTGCCGCCCTCCGAGATGGTGGTCACTAGCGTGTCGTTTACGTATACCTGAGGGGGGGGGGGGGAGAGACAGACGTGAATATATGTCCGGGGGAGGGTGCACGTGATGAATGTATTGTGTAGTGTACGGCAAGGACGTAGGAGGAGGCAATTGAATAAGAGGATAAAAGGAGATAAAACGATGGCGATGATGATGAAATGTGCTGACAGGAGAGTGACCAGGGAAGAATATAAGGAAACTGACGCGCTGCAAGCACGCTTGAAAACAGGGAACTGAACAGCCGGAGTCAAAACCACACAAAGATGAAAATTGAACAAGGGTCTAAAGATGACATCTAAAGATGAAACAATCGAGGTTTCGAACGGCGGGACAACAACTGTGTAAAAGCAAGACATGTATCATTCAGCCACCTACCAAGCAGCCGTTGCCAACCGTTTACCGCTCTCCGACAGGGGCGTATTGATCGATGGATTGATTGATTGATTGATTATCGATCGATTTGAAGTGTAAACTGAACTGCGTGACCCGATAGCAACAAGGTCGGATATTTCTGACCCAAACGCGCGACCCAATGATCGACCTGATCGATTATTGCTCTATTTTCAACGGTAAACAATCAGTGGTTACACGGAAACCTTTACGCGGTAAGAACAGCTATGAACACGGGTATTGGTCTCTTCAGGCGCAGTATGACATTCTCTCCACCGCGTTCGCATGAAAAATACCTACCTACACCACTCTCAGTTATCAGATACTGTCTTCCCTCTGAGTCTGCTCTCACCTCCACGTCTCCGGAGTCGATGACGTAAAAGTTGTCTCCCTCATCTCCCTGTTTGATGATGGTCTCTCCCTTGAGGAACGTCTGGGAGAACATGGCGTCGAAGATATCCGACCTGCCGAAAACGACACCGAGATAGTTAAAAACGGGGCGAAGAAGGTCATGAGAGTCCACAAGGGGGGACGCCAACGTAAGGCGAGCCGGCAACAACGATAAGGCGACCGTTCGCGTTGTATCCTATCCTAGACATACCCTGCAGTCTTATAAAGAACCACGGTATCTCCAACCTGCCGAAGACAACATGCGGCGTCAGTGAATATCGGGCAATGTCAAAGGCGTCAGTCGATCTGCTGAAAAGCGAGCACTGTCGATAGAAAACGGAGCCTGCAAAGATGTGTTCAGCTGAACACTCGAAGACTTCATACCGCAACACCCACCATGTTAAAGCGCACAACAGGGAACGTTTGGTTATGGAGGGGGCTCTGTTTTACATGCACTGCGCAATGCACATTGCATACGTTTTTTTGTGGAACCCTTCACATATTCTGTCTGGGATTTCATGAAAAAGACGGTGCACACCTTATTTTGCAGACAAGCTGATTCCACCATAGTGTGCACAAACCTGCCAGCTGGCAAAGGTAGACTTGTGTTTTCAAACTTCTCACCATCACTTATCTTGAACTAGAATTTTACCGCAATGCAGGAGTTCGACCCATTAACTAAAAGGTATGCCATAATGAATTAGGTATATAGCGCTGCCACGCATTTCTATGAGCGCACCCTCCCGGTAACTGTACGTACCTATTGGCATGCCGGCCTGGCGGCGGACGGCAGGGGGCGTCAGAGCGCGTGCCAATAATAGCGGACCGGCCGGCCGGTCCTGACAGCTCTCCGTGACACCCACCGCCGACGGACGCGTCCAGGGGCGGGACGGGCTGGGATCAGCGCTCCGCAGCCCCCTCCAGTGACACCCACGGCCAACGGACGCGTCCAGGGGCGGGACGGGCTGGGATCAGCGGTCCGGAGCCCCCTCCAGCGGCCGTCCAGAGCAGGACTCTGGGGTTCAGCCACTACTCATAGACCCAGAGGCCGCAGTGGGCTGAGTCTCAAGAAGTGAGCCGGGTGTGGGACGGGTCTCCACTGATAGACCCAGGGTCTGACGCCCAGCGGAGACCCCGGGGTCTAGGCTCTACTGATAGACCCAGGGTCGACACCCAGCGGAGACCCCGGGGTCTAGGCTCTACTGATAGTCTGACACCCGACTGGGTCTACGGCCGCAGCACTACTGGGAGGCCGTCCGAGTATCCTCTACAACCATTGCCAACTGGCGCACCCAGGCTCTGATGGGATGACTGGGAGTGCTAGGACTCGGATACCGGCAAAACTGATAGACCCACAGTCCGGCACCGGGAGAGAATCGGAGGCCCGAGCTCTCTGAGGGACGCGGGGGCTCATAGGACCTGCGAGTAGCTGCAGGACCCAAAGCCAGGGGCTGATAGGACCTGCAAGTAGCTGCAGGACCCACAGCCAGGGGCTGACTGGACCTGCGAGTAGCTGCAGGGCCCACAGTCCGCTACAGACAGAGACTAGGTCCAAGACTGCGTCTGTACTTTATAGACGGGAGACATGAGGACTCCAACGAAGCTTGACCGAGGGATCCAGGTCCTACTGAAGACTTTCCTCTCGTGATTTAACCCGTGTAAAGTATAGGCTACGCCCGGGACTAGAATCCCAAAGGCTAGTCGCACATGCGCTGTGTGCGAATTGCGTGATGGATGGCTTTAGGGAAGTTGGCGATGGTCGAAGAAATGAAGTTGATGACTGGGATACAACTTGACCGAGGTAATCTCGGGGGAGGATTAGAGGATAACATCGGATTGACAAGCGGACCACCAGCTGGTTCTCAGAGGTCCTCAAAGGGCCACATTGCGACTGTGGTAGGAGCAGGATAGCACAGGGTGAGGCCAGAAATTCAGAAGCTGGTAAAAGCAATAAGTTACATCAAGACAGCGAAACCGGCGCTCTGTTTACCATCCACCTTTAACATTATCAAACTTCTCATTAGGGTGACTGCCAACTATTCACAGCTGGAGAAATAGCTGGAGCGTCAGACATTTGGCATCCATCCATACCCATCCATACCCATCAATTTGGAAGTCCCTTCAGCGTATGTGGATGTAACAATTTAGCGCATCTAATGTCAGTATGTTGTTCTTATTTGTCGTGGATATATTTTCTAATCGACATCTGTCTACGAACCACCCCTCTCCTCCCCCGTCTGACCGCGAGGAGCGCCCGCCCGCTGTCACCCACAGCTCTTCAGACGGTGACAGCTACCCCGAGGGGGCACCGCCCCGGGCTGGGAGGTCACCTCGCCTGTGACGTCACAACCGGCCGCCTGACGTCACAGCACAAAGACTAGATGTGACGTCACAGCCCGGGCGGGGGTGGTTTGCAGGCTTTGAAGTGGGCTGCATCATGTTGGACGCATCGATGAAGGTTTATGATTTTACATTTCGATGAATATCTATTGATCCTCCGAGACGGAATCTAACATCAAAGACGCATCGAAAATGGAAATTGATTACACAGGGTCCTGTGATATTGGACGTTTTGAAGGAATTAATACCAAAACTCGAGCTGAATGGAGAGCAGCCTCAGTGCAAAGCATAAATACGTACCCAAAAACGGCAATCAAAGTAACATTTATGGAAGTGACCTTTTACAAAGTGACTAAGAAGCCTAATGAACGCAAAGAACATGAAAAGTAATACATAGGAAGCCGCTAAAAGCAATGGTCATTCCATTCTATGAGTTGTACTCTAGCGATTACCAACATTTCCTCTCCGAATGGAGCTAGCTATATACTCTCGACAATTACCTACAGGAAATGGCCTCCGGCCAGCCCTCTTCCCATCTCTCCCAGCACGAATGTACCTACCAAACGCCATCAGCGCCGCTGAAAAATGAACCACACGGACGAGAAATGTACGCTCCGAGGCACATACGTCGGCTATTTTAGATAGCATAGTTTCCACAGGACTTTCGATATTGTGCATCATCATGGTGCACTCAGCGCAACATTGGTTAGCCCCTTCGTGTGACCCGTAAGATACAGATATTTTATAAGCAATGATACGATACACACATACCTTTCTGCCGCAGCGTTAGAGTCCATCCAAAAGTCATTAGATAGCTAGTCCTTTATGACATAAATGTAAGGGTAAAGGGCTAAGCTGATAGCACATCGTACCAAGACGAATAATTACCGGATAACCATACCATTCGTCGCATCTCAAACTATAACGGTACGACAAAAACTGTTATTGAATGGTCCCCGATTTTCAACTGGAATACCCCCCCCCCAAAAAAAAAACGTCCGTCGTTAAGGAATTCTCCTTTCGCAACAAAGTCGCACACCCATCGCAAACTCACGTAAACAAACAAGTCCCTATAGATAGAGGGAGATTCTTGTGATCCCACAGTTCATTACCATCTCAGATGGTCATTTGGCGCCGAATCGTGGCCTTAATCGTCTACATAAAGCTCACGCGAGGTTCTCGTGAGAAACCCACGTGTTGCCAGACATGAATATTTATACATAGATGGGAACACAAATCTTGTTCCCGTATTTCGCAATGACATACCAACTGCCTATATCTATCAACATACCTATCAGAAAGAGCGGATTTAATCAATGAATCAGTCTACCAGTCAAATCAGTGCACTCCCTTGCACTCCCAGTTAGCGCTCCAGCCTCCAGCCCGGCACGTCAGTAGGGTCGGGAGACGGGGAAGGGGGGGGGGGTCAGCTATCTTTAACCCGTTCTCGTCCAAGCGGCCAAAATCAGCTTCATCGCCAGCCGCCTGGTGCCGTCACTCCTTGGAGAGAGGAGAGGAGAGCGGGTAGAGCGAGGGAGGAGAAGGTTCGGAGATGAGCCGGTCGAGGGCGCATGGTAAAAAGAGGATATATAGAAAGAAGCAGGAGCGAGGAGAGGACACAGGAATAATGAGGGCAACGAAAGAGCCCGAACGAAGGGCAAAGAAAGGAAAATCAGGAGAACAAAAGAGAAAGAGAGAAAATCGGTGGGGGAGGGAGAGAGAGAGAGAGAGAGAGAGAGAGAGAGAGAGAGAGAGAGAGAGAGAGAGAGAGAGAGAGAGAGAGACCGGAGAGGACAGAGCGCGAAGGAAGACAGTAAGATGACACGGCGAGACGGACCCAAAACAATGTCACGTGGGCACATACTCGTACTCCTATGTGCTGTCTGCTTGCCGCAGTGCACACTTGCACAATGCACAGTGCACACCTAACAGAGCAGCACGTTTGGGAGGGGCAGACAGCCGCTGTAGCCTCCTCTGAGACTGCTTAACAGGCGTGTACAGCTGATCCATCCGTGTCGGGTGGTTAGCATTCACCGGTGTCAGCGCTCAGCAAATGGTCCGCACAATGAACAGTCAGCAGTGAACGGTAAGCAGTCAGCAGAGTCAGCGCCCGGCGGTCAGAAAGTCCACGGTTATCAGCAACACCACCGTGACTCGTAACTTCACAACCTATGGTGAGCGGCACAGAGTCAGCGGTGGGTTCATTGGGAACGGTTCGGTCACTCGGGGGAGGAACCAGGGACGAACGGTGGGTGTCGTAGCCTGACCTCAGCTGCCTGCCAGTGACGTTTTCACTGGCACAAGAACAACGAGGCGACTGCAGAGGACAGCATAGGCGAACAAGGGCCCAAAGAAAGGCAGAAAAGGCCAGTCACGGTCACCAAAAGGTAATGGAGGACACAACTCAAACGTTAGGCTATCGAGCATTCGATACAAATAAATGCATAAGCACTCGACTTCATTAAAGAAGCTAGAGGCCAGTGAGGTCATCTGGGCCTCGTTTCTTAAAGCGAGTCCGTAGCCTACATCGGTTTTTAGTCTTATATTGCAAGTGCATGTGAAGCGATGACGATAGTTTGAATCGATGAATTTATTTATCTTGTAAGCAAGAACAGAAGGGAGAGGGGGAAATAACTTTATCGCTTCACATGCACTTGCAATACAAGACCAAAAACCGGCGTAAGTTACGGACTCGCTTTATGAAACGAGGCCAAGGTCACGCTGGAGTCCCTTGGGGCACCTGACAGACGCCGGCGATGTCGGCGGCAGACGTCATCCGGAAATCACAAAGGATCATCATTCTTCAACACTCGAGTGTCTGTTGGCTGCCTGACTAAGACGCGAACTTCTCCCCACAGTGGGTTTCTCATGATGATGATGATTTGGGATTTGGGGCGCCCGGCTGTAACGGTCATCACCGCACATTCGGCGAGTTTCTGATAGTTGCTTACTCTCCATATCAGTCTGTGAGAGGGTAACTCGGTCGGTCAGTGAGAGGTGAGCCTCTTACATGTGTGTTTTTTAAACAGACCAATAAGGTTGGAATGTCACAAATGACCGTGGGGTGAGCTCAGAGTTATTCCCTCATGGCACGTCGCAGTCACCTCACAACACAAGGAGACAGGAAATGAAATCCGACACGACTCGAGTGGCATCACGACACGGGAGCCTTGCACTCGTCACTTTATCCTCCGGGAGTCTATATCAAAGGCGGTGGGGAACACCAAACAACGACACTAGGATCGTAAATGAAATCAAAGTTTAGTGTTGAAACCTGCTGTAGAGATGAAGAAAACCGACAGCATTACCGCTTAACAATAATAAATTAATACTGAAGAAAACTTAATGATGCTTTTGCTCGTTTAAATCGTGTGGTAGTTAAATTTATTTAGAAAAGCACGCTGTCAGGGATTGAGAACCTGCGTCTCTTACCGTTCGTTCTCGTCCAGATGTGAGAAGAGTACATTCTTGGCGATCGCCTTGCTGAGTGCCTCCATGGTTTTGTAGTCCTTTGGCACTACCTGTGTGAGAGAAAACCACACCAGTCAGTATAAAACCATAGACCACAGCTGTGTCATCTGGGTCAATCATCATTATCAATATACACTTGCTGGCTCAAGAAAGGGTAAAGGCAATGCGCCCGTCCTGGTTACTTGCACAGCTTTCAGTGACAACTGAATGCTAAACTGGGTTTTGATGTGGCATTTCTGACATTGCATTTACGAAGCAGTGAACAACATCATTTTTAGAGCATCTGCAAAGTACAGAAGGCACACCGACGTCCAGAGACCAGAAGAATTAAGAACAGGCTTCAACTCTGATGCATACTTTGTCATCCATTTTGACACATGTCAGCCTCCATAAAAGTCAAAAACGTTAGGCATTTTCTTCACAGATTGTTATTGTATGCGAACACCCTGTATTGTCATTGCCTGTAAGAAAAACAAGTCAAAAGTGGTTGCTAATGATTCCACAGAATACATAAAACATAGCATCTTGCTCCCCATCCAGGCAGTGGCTTCTAGCTAACGTCATGCACAACTGAACTAGTTGGTGACATACTGGTGGCAATACCAGCTAGCCATTTCCCTGTTTTCAGTCCCGATCAGTGTTTTATGCCAGCCTATTTATTCCATCTACAGCATGGAAACAACAACTACTTCAAGCAGACGCCTCTCCTCTCAGTCAAACGCCACAGGGTAACGAATCGTTGCCGGGGGAGGCGTCTGTTCGTCCAATAATGTCGTCATCAATTATGGAGATGACGTACCACTAATTATCAAAGTGGCCTCGATATGGATTGGGGATGACAATTGGTGCTCTGTTAGGTATGCAATTGGTTGAAGTTGACAGGGGAGGTGGGATTATGAGTCCACTTCAGGGACGGCGGCATAATTGTCTTCCTTTTTATCAATATGTGATTATGCATTTAAAGTAAGTAGAGAGATGATAGTCACAGATAGAACACCGAAAGGTGGATGCAAATGATTATGCGTACAAAAGCATGCATCCCGAAGGATGCGTGTCATCATGATCTGTCACCTCCCTAACATACCTTCGCCAAAAAAGTAGCATTCCCTGCCAGAAACTCATATCTCTAGAAACGGTGCCCAACGTCAATAACGATAGGCATTGGCATATGTATTTGCGGACGTCCACAAACGTTAGGTAGCAGTGACAGGACCACGCGTTGTCATGGCAACAACTCTCTCTATGACTGTTATGAACACGACTGTCAGAAACCCACAGACGAGATGACTACTGAAGATGGTTCACAGAGAGTCTCGATGCGGGGTACAGTCTGTCTTAAAAGTACCGCGCAAAGTGACGGTGGATCCATCAAGCCTGACCGAGAAAGGGCCTGATTTAAGTTGAAAGTCACCGAACCAATTGACCTGGGGAATGGACGGGTATGTCAATTGCTTCGGTGATTCAAATTTAGCACGCCCTTGCTCGGTCAGGCTTGATGGATCCACCGTTACTTTGCGCGGTACTTTTAAGACAGACTGTACACGATAATGTAATAAACACTATCCAGAGCCACCAGAAACCGACAGCACCAAAGTCTAGAGCGAAATCTAACGTTTTGAGACGGCCACTAGCTAACAGGGCCGCACGGAGTACCTAGGAGCTGCAATTTGGCCCATATGCCCAAGCTTCCCGGTCTCAAATTCAGCTGACTGCTGAGTATAGAATTATAAGACCTTCCTTTTCATAATAACTCAAAATGAATGATTTTCGACATCATTTTCACATTAAAACTTTTAAACTTTTGCATCATTTTCGACATTTAAACTTTCTATATTCGAGGAAAAGGTCATTCATTTTGAGTTATTATAACAATATGTTCCTCGCAAGAGCACTCAACACCATATCTTCGACCTTCCTTTTCCTACGATATCAGCCACAATAGGTGAGTAACATGGGTACATTCATAACACAATATACGAACAATTCTTAAATGAGTCTGCATTCGAAAAGCCACCGTAAGCTGATGAAACCCCAGATCAGGTGACACCGCGTCCACCACAGCATAACCACAAATAGCGATCACGTGATGGCACACCCATCTGACACCACTGCCACAAATAACGGAGCGACAACCAACAACGGAACGGCTGCAGCGACAGGAAAGGGGCGTTCGTAGTAGGAAGGGACTATAGTCTGTATGCTCGGATAGTTTGCATGGCTCGCGGATTTGCATGTACCACGGATCTTCTGCTCAGTCACTTGCTTCCTTCCCTAGTCCAGTCAGCCCTTCACGGTTCCACTAGCATTTCCTTTACTTATTTATTACATAATTTCATTACCATTTCCTTTATTTATTTCTTCCTTATCTAGCCAGAAAGGCTAATTAAATAACCATATATCTTCTTTAGGCCAGAATTGTTCCATAAATAACGCATAAGCGTCATTAACACATCTTACAAAACTGAATAACGTCACATCATATCTTCATGTGGTCCAAAGACCTTAACCCGCGCCCCACTGGGGGGGGGGGGGGCTATTTATAGCCCCCCCTCCCGTTTTTCTGCAATAACTTCCAAACCGCTTGACGTATCGACGCCAAACTTTCAGTACCTTCGGCTGCATCAATTTAACATCTTGTGTCAAAATTTGAATTTCGTAGCTACCATAGGTCGGCCGGAAATGACGTCAGAGTGACGTCATGTTCGGTCGATTTCGACGCAAAACATTGAACCACGGCAATCGCTCCCAAGGGCTCAGTTTTTAAGCTAGATCCAATTTCTTTGCATGAGAGGACTCAGAATAGACTGCGCTATCAAACTGCTATCTCGAATTTTCGAAATTTTGAAAATTTTGAAAATTTTATACAATAAAATTCAAAATTTACATTTTTACATTTTTTTCAAAAAGTTTTTCACTTTTCGAAAAAAACCGGAATATATGTGATAGAATGCGTTATTATGACTACCTCTAGCAAGTTTTAGCTAAATATCTTCAAAAATGGCCAAGTTATACGCATTATTGCAAAAAATTAACAATTATTAATTTTTCAAATCAATTTTTCACCACGTATTTGACATCGTACGCCAATATAAATAGCACCATCGTGTTCCTGAGCTCAAACTGCATCCATTAGACACCTTTTCTGTTGAAAAATTATAACTTCAAAAGTTGACCTTTTTTGACCTGAAAGTGACCTGACCTAAGCTAAATTCGACTCAAAATGACCTCGAATGACACAGACGACATCAAATTCAAAATCTTTGGTCTAAATGGACCATAAAACATGTGTCACGTGACCGACGCATGATATAATATTTTCGTGACCTGTGATGACCTGACCTTGACCTGAAAATCAAAGTACAAGTTTGGCACCCTCAGGGTGTCTAGAGCATCTGTTCACGAGTGTGTGAACCAAAAATGAGCCTGATCTGACTTGTAAGCCGGCGGCCAGAGCCCAAAACGTGAACAAGCCAAAATGCTAATAATTTTTAATTTGACCTGACCTGTGACGTCATCGGTGACCTCGAGGTCAATGAAATTAGGTTTTGTTCGACAGTTTTTCCGGGCTATCAGACACCGTTAGAATTTTGACGATCGGCCCAGTAGTTTCGGAGTTAGGAGGGGGGGGGGTATGAATAGCCCCCTCCCAGTAGGCGTGTTATACGCAGACCCCAGTGGGGCGCGGGTTAAAGGTAGTGTGCCACCTTTGAAAGATTTCCCATTTTATTTTTCCTAGGATAGAAGCTTCTGTTTTTACCTAATATCGCAAAAAAAAATCAAAAATGGGCCTGGAATAGTGCTTTTTTTGCCTAAAAGTTTATCGGTTTTTTCGATATGTATAGCAACTGTAGTGGGCTGACCTGCAAACAGGCGTCGGCAACAAACGCGAATGCGGCGCACATGTGACAATAAGCAAAGGTCATTATAGAGTTACGACGTACGGGAATGAGTTATCACTGTCTAATCGTAGACTACACAATGTCTGACTTAAACTGTAAGCCTGTATTGGTATTGTTTCTTTAATTTGGCTGTCGTACATTAATTTATGGTTTGAAAT